GTTGACCGTGGAGCCAAGCAAACTGAAGCTGTGAACAATCTCAATCTCCTCACCATCCATCCTGATGCTACTGATTGGTCCAGTGGTGAGAATCTTTTTCTTCTTGACATTGAGCCTCAGTCAATACTGCAGGCTGCATGTCAATAACCAAAATTAAAAAAAGATGACCAATTCAATTTTAAAAAAATGGGTAAAAGACATTAACTTCATCAGAGAAGCATCAAGAGCTTTGTGAAAAGTTGCTCATGATTACTGAACTCTTAGTTGGTAGGTGCCTTTGAATCAGCTAGCTCCAACTCATTGACATAGTATATACAACAAATCAAAACTCTGTACAATCCTGCACTATGATCACAATCTCTGTTGTGCTGAAAGTCCATTGTGACAGTCACTCTGTTTCTACCCATCTTGTTGAGAATCTTCCTCTTTTTCCCTGGATCCTCCTTTTCTCCAAGTATGATTTCCTTCTCTAGAAACTGACTGTCCCTCATAACATGCCCAAAGTACAGGAGACAAAAAAAATCTCAACATCTTTCCTTCCAAGGAACCACACTGGTTATTCTTCTTCTGAAACAGATTTGCTTATTCTTTTGACAGTCCATGATATTCTAATATTGTTTGCCAACATTTCCCAAGAAACAAATCTTTTGATTTCTTAACTGTTGCTTCCATGGGTATTGATTATAGATCCAAATAAAGTTGAATCCTTGACAATGTTAATCTTTCTTCCATTTATCATGGTGTTTTGGTGTTTATTAATCTGTTGTGATAACTTTTTTTATGCTAAGATGTAATGCATACTTAAAACTACATTTTAGTTTTTGAGCTTTATCAGTTACCAAACCTTAGCTTACTGCAAGAATGCTAGGTGTTCTTACTGCTTCTATACAGATTTAAGGCCTCTGAAGACCTGTGTGAGCAAATCTTCTCTGTCCTGTAAGGCCACTAAGAGTTGCAATCAACTTTATGGCAATGAATATAAAGAAAAAGCCATCTAATCAGTCTTTGGATTTGGCTCTGAAGTTACTCCTAAGAGGCACCTTTTAGCCAAATAATCAGTGCACATACAAAAGAAATATCATTACTTGAGTATAACATGTTCCTTAGAGAGTTTACTTATTTGGCGAACTGATCAACATTTACTCACAAATCAAGATGAGAAGGCAAGGAGGGAGAAGACAACCTAGATCAACAGGAACAGAATAAACAGACTGAAATAATAGAACTGCTGGTGCATTGTGCAAATTTTAACCAATGTCATGTAACAATTTGTATAAAAATTGCTAAATGGTAACCTAAAATGCCTGTAAACTTTCACCTAAAACATTTTTTTTAAAGGAGAAAAGGGGAGGGAGAATCTTTTCATTAGTAACTCCACAGGAAACAACTTTGCAATGTTCTGGGCCAGAAGCAGAGGTCAAAGAAAGTAGAACAAGAAAATTAAAATGTAACGGGCTAAAAGGACTACATGATGGTTGGTTTGGGTGTGTCAGTTAAAGGAAAGGGGAAGGACCAGGAAAGCTGATACACTGGAGACAAAGCTGGGTACATGATTTGTCAGCCTTACTGCAGTATAATACCCCCAAATGCACGTTCTCTTGCTCAAATTGAAGAATTCCATGAGGGTGACAGCAAACTATTAATGCAGAGCATTAAACCAAAGAAAGCACTTAAGGGTTGGGGACCTGAGCAGTTACACTTTAGCAACAACTCAGTATCCCACCCTTGGCAAGAAGAGTCAACTAGGAGGACTCCTCCTCAAAGACTAGAGAGTGCCTTCTTTGGCCCTAGCTAAAATAACATCAAACAAGAAACCACTTCCAAAATTAAAACAGCTGGATGAGATAGTGCCTAACCTGGAAGGTGGTGCTTGTCATGGTGGTGTTACTAGGGTAACATCTGGAAGCACCACTCCCATAAAGCACATTTTGTGGTAGGAAAGGAAAGAAACCGTTTTGCCAGATAACAGACATTAAGGCTAAGGAAACAGGCCACATTAGGTCTGCCTCCTGCCCTTCTGTAGACAATGCCTTTTTCTTTCCAAATAATTCGGCTATTTGTACTTGTCTGGTTCCCTGGGAGCTGGGTTAAGTGGGCGGGGTATAAGTGTACGGGTGTGCCAGAGAGAAAAGAAAAAGAAAAAAAAAAAAAAAGAAAGGTTTAAAGACAGTGTCTTAGATTGCCTTCCTACTCTCCCTGGAAATAACCCCTGAGGGCTCTCAGGAGGAGTCTGGATGTAGTAGGTTTCAGGGACCCGCTATTTTCATCCTTTGCTGATGCTCTGAAGGTAAGTCTTAGGGGGAAACCACAGAGTTGAGCATTCTTGTGTCCGGTAAAGGTCAACTTACTTGTCCAGAGACACTTGGCAGAGGTGTTAGGGGCTGCTGGGACGGGGAGGGGGGGTCAGCTGGGTCAAGGAGGTGCGCATTGGCTCCAACTCTGCAGTCGGGCATTAGGCTGGCGGGGATGGGAGTTCCCGCGGGGAGGAGCGCACCGCAGCCCCGAGTCTGGCCGCTGCGTCTCACTCGAGCCCAAGGAGGCGTGGGCTCCGGGAATTGCGGGCGAAGGGGGCGGCGACCAGGCACTCTGTGGCCACTGCGGCCGCGCGGCCGCGGCTTGTGCGGCTCGGCGACCGCCGGGTGGAGGCTTCGCAGTGCCCGCCCCCC